AGGATCCCAAAGTCTTCAATGATGCTAAAGGCCGCCCCGCTATACACAATCGCCGTGATGTCCTTGCAGGTGCGGTCGGGGTTGCTGAGATCCCAGATCGAGGAGATCGGCGTGCACTCGAAGATGATGAGAAACATGTAGATGACTCCGTGCAGAACCAAGAACAGAATGAACCATCGGATCGTGTTGTGGAACCAGCGAGATGATGAGAATAGTCGATCGAATAGAAGCAGGATGGATATCTTAGCGAAAAGCTGGACAAGGATGTAAAGTTGCTGCCCGGCGTAAAAGAGCTGAATGAGCGTGACGCTGTTCGAAGGCTGAACGTTCCAGTAGTGTAGTCCGAAACCAAGCTCAGTGCCCGCGATCTGTACACCAGCCATCACGGCCAGCAGGAGCGTGGCAACAATGACCATGTAGTCATCCCACCACATCTTTCGTGTGACGAGCCATCTGGCGAGGCATCGCAACGCGACGATCGGAAAGGTGATAACCGAGAGGGCAATGGCGACATCCTTCGCTTCTTTGCTTCTCGATGGTTTCGGATACGCGACGCATAGGTCGGTCTGGAGCTGGGCGGCACCTGGTCATGGTCAATCTTCATGACATCCCTCGGGTGCTCATTGAATACCCACGAGTCTGGTCGGTGAAGAAGCAGCTATGTTGCACACAGGTAGAAAGAGACGCCTGAAGATCGATGTTCGGGCAGAGACAATCGGTAAGAATTGGGACTGAAGTCAATTTGCAGCCCCCCTTGATAAGTCCATCCGTAACACAACTCAGCTGTTCGGACGAACCGCTGTCAGCAAGCTTATATCGTCAGTAACAGAAAAAATTCAGACTTACCGCGCAGTTTGGTACTTGGGAAATCAGACTGGTGATGCTTGTCGTCTCAGACGAAGAGGTCAAATGTACCAAAGACAAAAGCAGAAGCACCAAGAGGTCATACTGACGGTTTCCGGCGTTGGTGAACATTTCTTGAAACGCACAAGAAAAGCCGCTGACCACCAGACGGCGAGGGCATTGGGAGAAGCAGAAGGAATAGAACACATGAGCAGCAGCAAGCTTCCACAGCAGAACGAGGGATTAGCTGTTTGGTGGCACTGCCGTCCCATTTAAGAAAACAACATTACGAAAGCGAAATGGGAACGGACGTCCACATGGTTGTTGGCGTATGTCCAAAACGCGCGGCGCGTTTACATGGAGATCTGCGCGGTGCCACCGGCCCAGTTCGACACTGGGGGCTGTTGAACACCCGAGCCGTGTCCAGAAGAGGCGGTTGAATGCGAAAGGAGATTGTCTCACGGACTGCGAGCCAGTAACACGGAAAGGAGATCACCTGTCACAGTCCTCTTGTTGGCGCGTTCAGCGGTGGGCAGGTTGTCTCGTAGAGATAGGGGCGATCCTGCCTTCGAACTGCCGCGGGGTACTGAACAACATAGACTTTCTGGATATGAGGAAAAGTTTCGTAGTCAAAGTGGCCTCCATTTAGACATGAGATTTCCGTCAATCGGGCCGTTGAACTCTATCCCACCGGATTTTGTTTTCTTATCGTGACATCGTCCATATTTCGAGGTACTGATTGTAGCCATGTTTGGTTTCATGGCCACAAATGCCGACTCAATTGGGGCTATACAATCACACGTGGTCGACGATTCCTGAGAGCCTGTTTCTGCATAGACTCTGCGACGAGGCTGACAATAGTCTTGCTTAGCATCAACGCCGTTGATTTTAGCGCGTCACTGCTGACAGATGGCGACATGCTAAAATGTCTAGCATGGCAAGCGAGGGGATCTCGGATGTTCTCATTGGTCATAGCTCTGCATGTCGACTCATGAACATATTTCGCCAAAAAGCGCGAATTCACTGAGGTTGTCTAGAAAGGGCAAGGGGTTGAAGTTGGGCTGTCAGTGCGCACGACGCTGTCGAAGCTCAGGGGCTCGGGGCGCCGAGGGGACAATGAACTTCCGCCTCTGGGACGACTTTGACGCGGTGTTCCCAACATTCCGGAATGAAATGCGAGCGGCTCGGAATCCTGCACGGCAAGACAGATGGACAGAGGTGCAATTTCGAGGTATATATGGATGTGCGTCTTGTCACATCGGCCTGCCTGGTAGTCATCGGAGTAGTCCAGCTCCTCGGCGACCCTTTGAGATCCCGCAGAGCCCGAGACACCTAGGAAGGCCTTCAACGATATCGAAGACTACAAATCACCGATAACATTCAGTGATTGCTCCGAAATTCTGCCTGCGACCCCGCGATATCATCTCGAACTTGTCGCGACCTCGGTCCTCTATCAGAACCGTGCTTGACCCCTTGCAGTAATTCAGGGGAGGCAAGCGTTCCCGAGGAGCACAGGACAAGCCCCACAACCCAAAGACTTGACCAAGACACCGGTGCATGCATGTCATCCCATATTTTGGTCGATTCTCCGTGGTGATAATGTATACAATCTTTGATTGGCTTGCTACAATCTGATTCTGGATTTCAAACGCATTCAAACTCCCCTGGCGGAAAATGGAAAACAGAAGAAGGAAAGCCCAATGCCCAAAGTACGCTAACAACATTCCGACTCATCCAAACAGCTTGGTGATTCTGCGATTGTTCCACTCCCAAGCAGTGATATCTTCGTATCGACAAGGTGTCGCATCAGTGATGAACTCTTTCAACGGTAGCAACGACGCGTGGCGGTTAGGCTTGACAAAGTAAGCGATTGAGTATCGCTCCGGAATCTGGACGTTGTCTCCGGCCTTGATGGCAGGCGGATAAGTGACTCGGTGGCAAGCCGCGCGGAAGGTGTCGTTGGTAAGACGCTGAAGCGAGTCGCCAATGTTGAGGATAATGTCGGTGGGCTTCTCTGATTCGACACTGCGGAAGACACCGGGCTGGGTCTGGTCCTCGACCTGAAGACCGCCCACAGAGTCTTGGAAGAGCATGGTGATGGTGCCGAAGTCGGTGTGCTCGGCGATGCGGGTGGCGGTGCCGTCCGCAAGTTCTGTGGCCGGGATGGCCGGGTAGTGGAGCAGACGGAACTCGTTCTCGGCGCGGTTGTGGAGCGTCTTCATATGGTCTTCGGAAACGCCGAGAGCGATGGCGAGGGCGGAGAGGAGCTGCATTTCCGTCTTGAAGGCCTTCTCGTAGAAGGATTCCATGAAGCCACAGAAACCTGGGAGGCTCTCTTCCGGGATCCAAAGGTTGTCGACGAGGTCATCTTGGGCGCTGCCCATGTCGAAGGTTTCCTGGTGCGTGTCAGCGATCGTTGGTGTGAAACGAGAGATACTCGTAGACCGACCTTAATATCGCGAGTCTTTCCGGGGCCAAGACCCTTCTCATAGCCGCTAATGTTGGCGACATTCTCCTGGCCAATGAAGCTGTACCCACGGTTGGGGTTGGCTTGGGGAGGGTGCTTGGCCTCCATCTTGGTCTCGAGAGGCAGAGCAAAGAATTTACGGCTCTGGACGTTTTCTCAAGTCAGTCCGATACGATTCTATTAAGATAGTATAAACGTACCATGTTCAAGAGCGTGTGAATGTCTTCGTCCGGAATGCTGTGGTTCTGGATCTTGACGCCACCTCTCAACTTCAGTAGGCGGAGGAGCTCGGTGCAAAAGTATTTCTTCTCTTCAGGAGTTCCGAAGAACAAGGACATATCGAGAGTGGCACCCTTGTCTGACATGTTTGCTGCTGATAGAAGAATAGATATGCGTTGTAGATCGGGTGGTTTGAACCGTAAAAGAGGTAAATTGATAGAGAAGGATGATGATGAATGAGGATGGCTTGATGGTTTCTCTGATTGATCTGAGGTTTTGACAGACTTCGTAGACGGATCTCAGACGTCTTAAATACTACATTCAGCTTGTTTCCTTCCAACCGCCCCTTCCGCCCAATGTCCTCTTTGTCTGGTCCTATCTTGACGTTTCAGACAAGTCATGGTGTCTGATAGAAGCAGTTCAAAAAAGGCAAGCATAAAATAGGTACATTACGGAATTGGAAGCTGGTTACTGCAACCATACTGAAGAGTTTCACTTCATCGTCTAGATGAGCATCGCATTGCCTAGATGCGTCCCAGAAGAGAAAGAGAAGCCGATTCGGCGGTGTAGGTATGCGCTACCCAAATAGGTAAGCAGGTATGTGGGACAGGCAGCTGTCGCCGAAGCAGGCATGAGAACCCGACCCCGCGTTTTCATGGTTCCCGACTACGAAATGGTCGGTGATAAGAGGGAGGTTGTCATTCAATAATCCGTTTTGTTTTGCTTACTTCTTTAGCTATTTTAGACTGCTCTAGAATTGATGGCATTTGTATAGCTCAGATGCTTTGGAGATAGACATTGCCCATGTTCAACGCATGCTGTGAAGGCGTAATGGAAGTATTACCTGATCATTGATGCACCTATTTGAAATCCTGTTTGTTGGCATCTTACAGAGATTTCCGGCGACTGTCTTTATGCTCACACTACGTGTCGACTGCGTTGGCCTGGCCGTGAGGGCCGACATCTTGATGGCGGGAGTGACTTATCACGACCGTGTTCAACTCTCATTAAAGGCAACCGCGAGTCCGGAGCAGCATTCCGTGCAGGATTTTTAAATGGTTCTTGACGCGAACACAGCCTTTAGAAATGTCAGGCTCGTTTTTGCTTAAGATCAAAAGGATATTCCCCAGATGAAGAAGTGGTGGTCGATTGCCCTACCGTCGTAATGACATGGATGAGGAGGATGGCCCTGTTAATTGTCATGGGATGCTGTAGTAGGTCTGCTATTCGCCCAGCTTAAATTAACACGTTAGAAGTTCCAGCAATAGGGTGGCAATTGCACCCTGGCGCTTCTCAGACATAGATGTCAACTTCACTGTTATTCTTCACGGTCACTGGACTGCGCCGCATGACGGCATCACACCAACGTCTAGGCAACCACATCCAACACACAAGCTTTAAAGTGGCTGTGTTCCCACAAAAGCCCACTTCATGAATATAATCCCATTTTGCTGATAACTCTCACGCCATCATGCCAACGTCAACGATTTCGCAAGTCACTTTCGTCAACGTTGGGCCCTTGACGACAACATGGACCGCGCCCTCAGCATGCGCGACGATTACGCATCCTCCATACCTGGCTCAATCTTACCAAGCCGCGGCTGGCATACCCTACTGGACAGAAGATTGTGCAACCCTGTTAACGGGCGATCCTTTCGACGAATGCGTGCCATCTGCTACAAAGATGAACGAGGAGTGGGCCTCGCGAAGGGATAACCCCCTGATAGGCAACGCATTCTACTATCACTCCCCTGGGGCCATTTGCCCTTCAAATTGGACAACTGTGGGCGTTGCTGCCAGAGGCGATGGGACATCTTACAGCCTGGACGGCATATATGCTGATCCGACATTCACTCTCATAGAGTCTGACAGCACGACAACACGTTTCGTCACTCAATCAGAGGCGAAGCCTGGCATACAGCCAGCAGCCAACATGTTTATGTCCGCGATCGAGCCTCACGAGACCGCTGTAGCCTGCTGTCCAAGGTACTATGAACCCGTTACCGATCGCTAGGACGGCAGTCATAGACAAGCATTGTGTACTAAAACAAACTTCTTAGCGGATACACGGCAAATCCACTCGGATCGGGGTGCTTCTCTTACATCCCGCGAGAATGGTACACTGCAAGCACTGGCTGTCAGATAATTCTCGATAATGACGTGTACACCCTCATCGACAACACATACACATATCACGGCCGCACGGTCAGTGGCCAATTTCCGTCTATTATTGCGTCCACCATGACCCGGCACATCGAAAGTTACACCATCGAGCCTGATGAAAGCTCGAGTTTCGTTGGGCTGGTGGTAACACCAGGGGTGACGTTGGTGAACAAGGCTCAGAATACAGGATCCGGAACCGGAGGGGGTCCAAGCACAGCCACAGGCCAAGCTGGCTCTACAGGAACACCGAATGCCGCAGCATTGACTACAGTGAAAGGCTCAGGATTCTCTGGCCTGGTCATTATGGTCGTGTGTGTTTATACACTGGCTGGTGCAGCTCTGATGCTACCTTTATGATTACTGTTTTCGTTTATTACGTCTAGTCTCGCAAGAACATGGTATGGAAATCTGGGCATGAGCATCTTTCCCCAGCAGAAACAAGAGCAGGGATATGAATGATGGGGACGACAACTACAACGACATCTTGACCAGCGGAAAGGAAGAAACACGTAGGAAATCTTGCGCGCTAAAACACAAACCTTTTCTGTAAATGAATGTCGTCAAACAAGTGTGTGCAATGAATATTCGCCGAAATTATATACTGTCATTGCGACTTCTATACTTCCAAAATGTCTAGCATGCGCCGAGAGCTGTCTGACCTTTGCAATTAGCCGTAGTCGTCACCTTCGAGCTCTCCTGTCCCTTCTGGACTCCCTTGTACTCCTGGCACACCTTCGTCACCGCTGCACCGCATGAGTTGGACACGGTGGAAATGTCCCCGAAGTTGGAGTTGATGCCGGTGAAAAGCTTGACGTTGTTCGCCTTAACATTTTCAATGACGACATTGCGAGGCCCTCCGTTGTTTGCACAGTCACCGCAAGCACGGTAAAGCCGGTTCGATCCTACCACTGTGAAGTCCTTGATGGTGACAGTCCCTTTGCCTTGGTGTAGGATAACATTTTCGACTGCGGACTGTGCACCTCCTCCCTGGATGAGGATGTCGCCGTTTCCAACGAGCGTGATGGCATCTGTAGTGTTTGCGTCAGCCCTCTTGCCAGCTTTTGCACCAGGCATCTGGCATGGTTCCCGAGTGTTGTTGAAAAGTAGCTTACCATCGCAGACTTTACGAAACCAGACGTTCTTCAGTGTGCAGGCACCTCTACAGTGGATACCCTCAACTTGACCGATGCCAATGATGGCATTGCTGAGTGTCGCGCCGTCGTCCAGGATGAAGACGGGATGGCCGCCCGGTGTCTCGACGTCAGTCTCGCATGCGCGTCCTCGGTCGAATTCCTTGTTCCCCATGTCCTTTGAACCGGAAACTACGCTGGGCGCAGGGAGGGAGATGATGGAGCCGCTTCTTGCCGGAATATTGAGAGTCTGTCCGGTGGCGAGACCGGCAAGATTTGCGACGGGGAAGAACTTGGCGATGGCCATGGTCACCATGTTGAGGGAGTAGAGTAATTGTAGAGTGTAGTTTCGGATATGCGCAACGGCTGAGGCAGAGCTATTTTCGAGTTGCTGGACCTAAGCAGCCACTCACTTAAATATGCTATGAGGAGGTGGCAGGTTGCAATCAAATGTGGTGAAAGTAAGGAGAGCACCGCGCAATCCCATTGAATCCCACCTCATAGCTCGTATACCCTTGTTTCAATCCATTTGGTAGAAAGCTTGGCAATATGTGTAAGACGGTGTGAAGAGTAGAAACAATTTTCCGTATGGGCTATTGCATCCCTTTGTTTCCTCGCGTTCCGTGGATTCCATACAAGTTGGGCGAGAAGTCAGGAAAATGGAAATGTTCCATCTCACGACAAGCCACTTGATTCGTGCTTAAATACAAGCATGCCTGCAGGTTGACTACGGACTAGAAGTCCGCTCTTGGGGGAGTTCCGATCACAATTATTCCACTCATCACCTGTGAAAAAACAGGCTCCCCCGTCAGTTCAGAGGCAAGACAAACGACGCAATGGTCTGAAACTTCTTGGCAACGACCATTTTGATCTGCCGTCCCACCAACGACCGCAACCCTTAATCCTAAAGACCCTTGTTCTGTCATCCCACCAGTGAGTCCTCGCGATCCACCGAACCGGCATTAGACCCAGACCCTCGCCAATCATCACCAAGGCTCTCCAATAATTTGGCCGATGGCACAAAAAACGTACAACCCGTGACTGCTTTCGAAAAGTCCAATATCCTGTCATGCAGCCCGGGCGGATTGCCAATGAACATCCGCTCAAGCATCTTCTCCGTGACCCATAGCTTCTTGGAGTATCCAATGAAGTAGGTGCCAAATTTTCCAGAAGCTGGAGATCCAAAAGGCATGTTATCCCTGAGGATCTCATGCTCGTTTCCGTCTTCGTCCTCAATGGTTGCTAGGCTCTTGTGAGACTGCTGGTGTCCATCCTCAGCGTCGTGAAGCTCAATGTTGTCCAATTTCGTTCGCCCGATGACGGCTTCCTGCTTCTCCGTAGACAGGCTGCGCCACGCCTTGAGATCGTGGAGATACTTCTGCACTACCACATAACTTCCTCCAGGCGCGGCCTTGGACTTGTCATCTTGTTCAGTGATGACAACAGCTTCAGAGACGTCTGATCCGACGGGGTTAGCCGTGCCGTCGACGAAACCGAGCACGTCGCGTGCATCAAAGTACCGAAAGCCAACCGTCTCGTCTTCCGTCTTGACCGCACCACCTAGCAGATCCATGAGCTGTCTCTCAAACTCGAAGGACATGTCTCTCCTTCCTGATCGAATGTGAAATAACAAGTCACCTGGTGTCGATACTGCAATGTGTTGAGCTCCCCGGATCTCTTTGAATGGTCGCAACTCCATCGGTCGGGGCAGGTGCGTGAGCTTATCCCAGATTTTGCTGCCGATGCCGACGGTGCAAGAGAGATTGGCGCTCGGATAGCGGGTCGAAATATTCTTGGTTATGTCCGAGATGTTTGAGACGGCGGATCGAATGTTCTTGATGGCATCGGGTTCATCTGTGGCCGATAAGACGAGAAAGGTGGCCGATTGTGTCAAGGGGGCTTCAACAACTTGGGATTCATCGTGACCGATGAGTTGAAGCTGCGGTGTAAAGAGAATGGCCGTTCGCAGTTGACCGGTATGAGAGCCGTGCTGGACGGGCGCGAACGCTTGAGTTTAGTAAATGCTGGTGCCAGGGGAGGTTTTTGAGAAGCAAAGAACTTGGCGACCTGAATGGCTAGCATGTTGGTGGCCATCAAACAGTCTACACACTGCGATCAACTGCAAAGTATTTGATGGAAATTAAGGGCTATCAGTGAGATGGACAGCAGGTGTGCAAATAGGGCGCGTCCATGGCATTGCAGGCCTCAGGATGGTGGGTGCATCCGGCATGGGTGATAGATCATGGGCAGCAAAAGTATAGCTTGGCGCACTGGCAAGAAAGAGCATCATCAGTGAGCTTCCAGAGGCAACTTCAGTGTCGGTATTTGCAAGGAGGCAGATAGCTGGCTGCCAGTGATAGTCAAACCAATCGCAAAGCCTATATTGCAGATGCGAGATGTGCGATTTGCGATGCCGAAGCTTCTGCGCGGGATGCGGCGCGGAATTTCGGGATCGATCCGGCGACCCACAACGGCAGACACCGAAGGCGCGTTCTCGGGAAGCTTTTTCACTGTCACTGGCAGACGCAAGGATCCCGATGTTGCCCCGGCCAAGGGGATGGAAGCTTGTTCTCGGCTTTTTTCTAGGTGGTCTTGCTTGAGCTTCGACCAAGCCACTTGCAGCTAGATGAGCACGGAGATCGGCAGTTGGGCAGGATGCCCATCATCAGCGGGCTTCAGTGCGTTACAGCGGAGCCTTGACTCAATCGCCTGCTGGAATGACGGCGACAGTTGTCATCGCGACCAGTGTTTGGCAATCATTCCGTCTCCGTGTGTGTGTTCTACTCTTCATACATCATCTTTGAGGTTTATCAGAACCATGGAACTTGACATAGATTGCGTCACAAATACTTGGCTCGGTGTTTTAATGTTTTTGTGCTAATTTCCATGTCGCCCATATGACGTTGAAGCAATTCCTCACGAAGACCGCAAAGAAAACTTAGCATCTTAGATAGGAACCAATTTACTCATCCTCAGCGTCTCTCGGATCATGACTCTTCCAATACTTGTCATAATCATCCCAACTCTGGGAGGGGAAAGCGAGCGGCACGGTAATTGGGGCAAATGGAATACCCTTGTCTGCAAACTCTTGAAGGCGGGCCTTGGTCTGCGGTCGGGTGTTGTTCACGCTGTAAACCGAGATTCTGTGGCAAGAGCTGGTGACATGCAGGCCCCAGTTCCATGCAGTGCGGACATCGGGCGGCTGGGTGTTGAGAGAATTGTCCCAGCAGCGACAAACAATCTCAATCCAGCCCTCAACATCGCAGGGCAGATCCATCTCCCAAGTTCGCCAGGTCCACTTGCGCTTCTTTGAGAGATTCTCAACTGGAACCGTGTACCAGTTGAAGCCTCCGTCGGACGAAAGCTCAACACGCTCCGGCCAGCGTCCACCACCAGAGTAGGCCCATCCCTTGCAGCGAATCTTGCCGTTGTGGATAACGACCTGCTTGGTCCAGGGCGACATTATGGCTGAGCTGACTGGCATCTCTTGAATCTGGATGCCATCCGTGAGCTTGAAGTTGTGCTTGCCGACCTGCTGGGGGAAGTAGAGGTACTCCTGGCTCTGGACCGGCGCGCGAGTGGGGTTCTTGATGGCCTTGATACGGTAGAGCCACTTTACGCTTCGAGCGCCGATGTAACCGAAGACGACGATGCGCAGGGGGTATCCATGGATGCGCGGGAGGACTTCGCCGTTCATCTCCCAGGCCAGCATGACCTCATTGGCCTTGACCTTGGACCAAGGAACACTGACGAGGTAGTTCATGGTCTTGTCGTCCTTGAAGTAGGTGTCCGCGCCGTAGAATTCGAGGTGCTTGGCTCCCTCGATGAGCCCACCACATGCCTTGATCACCTTCTTGAGACTAATTCCGACGTATTTGGCAGTACCAATCGCGCCCTCTGCCCATGGAGCTTGGGGTACGTCGTCACCCTGACCGGGGTACTTGAGAATCTGCTCAATGCGTCGGGTTCCAGAACACTGCATTGTGATAGTCTTCTCCATGCGCGGGAACTTGGTCTCGTCCATGAGGTCGTCGAGAGTGAAAGACTTGGGGTTCGCGACGAGACCGTCCAGGAGGAAGCTGTAGTGTTCCTTATCGATGATCGGGATGCCGCCATGGTTTCGAACGAAGTGGAGGGGGTTCGGGGTGATTTCCTTGTCGGTCACGAGGCGCTTGGGAGGTTCACCATTGTAGGGAAACTGGAGAAGATGGAGCATGTCGGCGTGCTTCTCCTTGAGGACTATGTCCCAAGAGTCGTCGGGGATACGGGAGAGAGCGCCGCCGACCGCCTTGTGCCACATCTTCCAATGAGTGCCAGGAAGCACAGGATTTGTCGCTGGGATTGGACCAAGCTGGAACTCCGGATTGGGAGGGAATGTTTGGGAGGTCAAGATCTTGTGTGCCGCAGCCTTTTTCTCGGGATAGTTCTCCCACTCGACGAAGCTGTGCGGTTGAGCTCCGTCAGCGATTGTAAAGAGATATTTAATCGAAGAACATCATCATGACCGATTGCGACTCACCCAGTCCACCCTTCACGCTCTTCAGTGAAGAGCTTGTTCGGGTCACCAACACTCTTGATGGCGGCCTCATCTTTCGTCAGGTCACCGAAGATCTGAGGAGGAAGGGCCTTGGTCTGGGGTCCCGTCATGTCAAGGACGGGAAGCTCAGCCCCAGCCAGGCCCTGCTCAATCTTCCATTCATCGGGTCTATTAGTGGTCTTCATGATGTTCGAATGATTCTGAACGTATCAATGGATGAAATGAAGGTGAAGGTGGTGAGAATCCGCTTCGTTTTATTATTATTGTACCTATGAGAGGGATAGAGGAATGTTATAGGCCTGGTCTAAAACACTTTCCTGCATGCCCTCCATGACGTCTACCAGGCTGAGCTCACCGATGGGACCCCATTGATGCTCTGAGACCGGGGCGCTCGCTTCGCATACCAACTGGTTTCCGCAGCTCCTAGCGAATCAACGGGTGTAGCTGCACTAGCCCAATGATAGCTGTCGGAGCTTAGACAGAGTTCGGCTTGGCCGACTTGAGATGAATAAGCGTGAACCCAACCAGATGAGAAGGTTTGTTTGATACGCAGCTACGGCACGGAAGATCTTATCGCTGGTGGCCTTTGGTGTTGCTAACCCCGCTGCGTGCTTGATTACCACTGCCTTCTGCAAGCTGTTGCAGTAGGTGCCTAACATGTGCTAACGCCAAAGATTGTGACATGTCTTGAACCTTACTAAAGCCAGACACTAAGCAAGGGGCTGCCGGGTTAGTACCGGTGATCCGAGAGGGGGTTCGGCAAGACGGCGAGACGGGGAAAACGGGTGGCACGGGCTTTGTGCGCACGGGTGACGCGATGATTACCGTAGGTGAGGATCTGTCTGATTGTTGGTTGGTGAGGTATGGAGAACGTTTCCCAATATCGCGAACTCGGAGGCACTACCTATTGGACTTAGAAGATTAAGCAAGTAAGAAGACCGGGATAACCAGTACGTACGCGCGCAAAGCGTTGAAGGGTGCTTGAAATTGCCCTCGCTGGTTGACACGATGGGTATGAGGCATGAGCTTCCTTGACTGGTATGCTGCCATTCAACATCCGACAGTGTGAACCAAAATGAAGTTGCGAACAGAGTGTGGTGTCTGGCAATACACTGATAGCACCTGATGCAAGGTAATGCAGTGATTTAAATCCTGGTCCGCAGGCCAGTTGAGCAACGCTTCCGATTTCCTCGGCTACGGACAATGACTCAACGCGGCGAGTACGGGATATCGGAGGGTAATTAAAACAGTGGCCATATATGCTAGTGGCGGCCAAGGGGCGTGATTAACCTGCCGACGGGACCTATGGGACAGACATCTGGCTTCAGGCTCAGTATGCCGGTGCCAGTGGACCTCTGCTCGGCCGAGCCGCCCCACCTATGCCGGTGCCATCGCTTGAGATAACCCACACCCAGCCCGACGTGGAGTCTTCGGCACCTAAATAGGTTGCTCAGCGATTCTCTTGTGCAACGACTTCGACTCCAATGGTTTATGCGGAAATTCATGTTGATGGAGCGTACTGGGAGAACGCATGCATGCTGGCTAGCGGGGGATGATTCGAATCGCTGCGGTGTGGCGCCCATATGAAAGGTTTGTTGCCGGTGGACGGCGTGAAGAAGTAGTGACGGGCTTAACGTTTATGAGCCCGGTTCCGTAATGCAGGATGGTGGTCACAAGGTAAATTCAACGCACGGAAAACAACACCAGACGAGAAATATCTTGGCATTCAGATGTTCCGGTTCTACATTCGTTGTACACTATGTGTAAGCCCTCAACCCTCCGTACCCATTTGAATAAGGACTGTATATTACTGACGAATGCCATCTTGCCAGTCTTCCGAAATAACATTCAGGACTGATCCTAAAGCTGGCGATTACGTATGTGAGACCGGGGCGAACCGCAATACAGAGCCATGGAGAACGAACACGGAACGGGACGAGACCATCGAAGTACGCCTGGACCGCCTCGAGCACGAGGAGCAGGAACAGGGGTAACATAACCAGGAATCAGACGTAATGAGAGAGCTCGAAAGGAAGACGCCTGCTGCTGAGACTCAAATAGCTGTTGCTGATGCGCTGGACGAAGTTCGCTTCCGAAATGCACGAGAGAGGCTTGGTCGAGCAGGAATCGAGCCTAGTGCGATAGCTGTTGAGAATATGGGAGAGAAGGAAGACAGGGAGGCGGCAAAGCGGGCTTTTTCTTTCCTCGCAAAGAGAAACGTCGCAGAGATGTTGGATCACTCTGAGTCAACAGCCATGTCGGGAACGCAGTCTGCCACAGCCGCTCTCCACTCAAGAAAACCTACAAAGCGGTCCAAACCTTTGGCCTCGCTGCAGAAAGCAGGAGTTGCCAAACCCCAATTAGTGTACTATGACTCTGATTCCGATTGAAAGTTTCAACTTTCCGTGTCATGATAAGTATCATGGTCAACTAAGGGCATTTTACTATGCCCACACCGCTGGACACTAGGGACATAATATCGCCAATGCGTTCCTGGAAGCAATCAAGGAAACAACGAACAAGCAATCGAGGATCAAATCATTCGGTCGATGCACACTAACAATTAAGTTCCTCATTACATTGGTAGAATTAGACTCATGCTTTTAAGTATCTTCTCACAATCAATAAGATAATATCTGTTGATAAATGCGGGCGCAGCAAATACACAGCAAAACCAGCTGTATGAGCGAGAGGCCTCTGTAGCCATAAGCAGCCCCGGTTCTCCAGGCAAATATGCCTGAATCGTCCCCTCAACTTCTCATTGACGAGATCAACTCATGTCAGGTCAGGCGTGTAGAGCTTGAAAGTCGTCCCCGCAGTGTCCTCCTTATCTTTCTTGTAACCTATATCAAAATCCTCCTAAACCCAACGGAAGAGAGCTCATCGAGGTATGGGTTGCCCGTCACTAGCACCGCCCGGACCCATCAAAGGGCGCATTCTCAGCCTCCACCAACCAACGACAGGGTGATTCTCGACTCGCTGAGGGCCCAGCACGAGGTCGAGGCTGGGTTCTTGAAGTCGCTCCAATCCACTCCTGGGAGCATTCCTCCTTCTGGGCTTTCTTAAATGCAATTGTCCGGCATGTCTGGATCTTTTTAATTCGAACAACCAGGCCGTGTGTACAAATTCTTCTCCAAGAACAGACGGCAAAGATTGCTTGGTTCTCTTCGTCTCGGAGAGCTGAAAGCTACTCGTCTTTGCGGATCTTCAGAAAGGATTCTGTGATCCTAGGCCGGTTGGCATCAAACACTTCAAGCTCGGTGAAGTGGTTCGACATGTCGACCTTGCCCTTCTTCTTCTTCGGGGTGGCCACCTCCTCAATGCCCGTCACCTTGAACAGCTCCTCTCTCTCATCGGGGTCCAAGAGGCGCGGGTCCACGGCTGTGAAGTAGTCAAATGGAGTGCTCTCCTCGGCCGGGAGGGGCTCGGCTTGGCCCGTGAGGATGTCCCGAGTCATGGGCATGGTGACATTCCAACGAATGGCGATGCTGCTCATGGTTTCCACCTCCTCCGCGTCTTCAGGGTGCTCCATCAGCCATTACGCAACGGCCGAGAATAGGTATCCCTCCTTCCGCACCTGCTCCCTGGTAAGATGGGCTAATTACAATAGGTAATGAGCAACTATAGATTGGATGATGTATCTCTACTTCTTCCCTCGGGAGCTGCCCAGCTAATTCAAGCTAGGCACATCACCTGCTCATATGAACACCGCTGATTAAAGACACAGCGATGCTTGCAGTGCATCAAATTCTTACATGTATTGGATACCTTCAGTCTCCACTCAAGTGGGAGAGAAGAACTCCAATTTTGGCAGGCTTTGTTTTCCGAAGTTTCTGTCTAGCACTCGGAAGAATGCATTCTTCGCAGCGAAGGGAGTTACGAGAAGAATTTTAAGGATGCCAAACGCATCTGTTACCTTGCTCCTCATGGGGGGAGATAGAACTGCGCTTCCGTTTCACGTCCATGCAAGATGTTGGGCCCGGAGTTCTCAAGGCATGTGAAGAACGCCTGATGCAGAGAGCAGACATAGGGTAGACGAAACCAAACATTGATAGAGCAGGAAGCAAGTAATATATCCCGCGGGTTCTGGTGATCTGATATGATGACGTTGCCTTCGAAGGGAGGTCCCATGTGCCGTCAGGAACAGCAGAGACGAGCATCTTGAACTTGTCTTCAACGCTGTCGGCATCAGTCACATGGTGTCTGGGGTATTTCCAATGATTGAAATTTAATTTGTCCTCTTCGGAAGGAAAACTTATCCCATTTCTCAACCATCAAAGATGTGGTCGTGTCACCAGTTGGTATTCATTGGTCAATCTGCCGACGACGCCAGAGTTGAGGAGGATATACTCAAGATGAGAGCACCAGAAAATACATCGTCCTCTAAGGTAGCTTGCTTAAAGGTGAGGTCCCCTCACGTTCGTAGCATACGTCTGAGAGTGATTATCTGTATGTGTTGAGATTGTGTATGGTACTAAAGATACGCCAGGTTTATTAGTCGGCCTCAGGCCCGGCGGTGGTTCAGTTGTTGGGTTTGTTTTCGAGGTTGAGGCCCCGCATTGGGCTGTAGACGAAGAAGCTTCTGGAAATTGCTTTTGTAAAGATCTCTCAGGAGTTTGACTTATTAGTTTAGATGAGGTGTAAAGGAAACTAAAACAATCCTTCTTCTTCTTCCTTTGCTGCGACTCTCAACGTTTCTCGGCTGTTTAGCCACCAGTGGCGCAATGCCCCGTGAAGTCCAGTCGGCAAGAATAAATTTGACTACTCGCGCGAGGCAAGTCACAAATCCATACTCACACAAAGTTCGGCGAGCGCGTCAATGATCTCGCCGGCCTGAAAAGGTCTCGAGGCCAAGATGACTGACTGCCCACATCCTCTCGGATTGTGCGTGGAATCTCCACGAGACGTTCTTGTCTTTTGTACTCGGTGTAGACACCGCCACCGCCCTCCATGGGAGTTATCTCGAACTGGACGGTGCGAGGTTCCTTGTCTTAAACCCTTACGCCATCTGCGGATTTGATGGGCATGCCCCTCTTCGGAGCTTCACTGGGTATTCCCAATTTTGGCATGGACAACTCGATGTCGGACTGCTTGTCCGACTTTCTCTTTTGGCCTACTCTCTCAGAAGGATTGCCAATCTTGGCATCTTTGGAGAGAATAGCTCTGGCCGATCCCCTGGCCATTGGTGAGACTGAATATCTCTTCACAGGGGCGCCGTTGTCCTGAGAGGGGCCCGGGTTTGGTGAACGAACATCGATGTCCTAGTCTGGCCTCAGATTTCGGGGAGGTAGAATCTTGGACAATCAAGGTGACAGAGATGGCAAAAGGCTGCCAGCATTATTTGCTCAGCATGACAACACAAAGTCCTTGTCTTACAGTCTGTGAAGAGATCAAAATAATTTTAGTAGGAGAACCAGATGCCCGCTCAATGTAGCATCGCCAGTTCCTTCCTGTTCTGATGCCTTCGCCTCTGAGATCGAGGTGGTTGACAAGCTCCTGGTCTAGACTCAAGATCGAGGTCGCTGCCGGGATAGCATTCTCTTGTGGTGACCCAGTAGTCTCTTAGGTGGATCGGTGGACTCCCTGCCGGAGCCACTCTCGGTTGCCTTCATCGGCACTCAGAGATTGACCTCCGTTTTGAGTCCTGGCATCTTGTGTAGCCAAAAACTGTCCCCTTCCTTGTGAAAAGGCTGTGCAAATTCAATTGTCCATTGAAGCAGCTTGTGAATGAAGAGACCAAGCCATCTGTTTTTGATGGCTATGATCAGGCCAGGCCAGGCTAGGCCTTCCGGCTGAATGTTGTCAACGAAATACTACTTAGTAGTATTGGAGTTATCTGACCTGGCCAACTCACGCTCACTTGTTATCCAAGGCCAGCATTAAGGGCTTCGAATAGTGCGCGAGTCGCTCTATTCGGCACGTAGTTGACAAACAGACGGGGGATTAGAAGACGACTGGAATTAGCGACCCTGCCTTGATGAAGCAATGGTGAGGTACTGTCATCGTCACCGTCATCGCGTACATGAGGAGGCAAGTAGTCAACGCAAAAACCTCTGCTGATGCAGCGTGGTCGTCAAGATAGAAAGTAGGAAAGAAAATACGAATGTTATTTCCTCGAAATACCTCTACTCCCCGCCCGTTTGTATTCTGTGTGGGGCGTTCATCATGATGTGAGAGCAGGTGTCGAGTAGTTCGCGGTAGAGGTCTCGGAACAGGATCAAGTACCGCGTCCGGTAACCAAAGAAACCGAGAAGTCCTGTGTTTGTAGTAAAGTTCTCTCGGCTTTTTATGTAGTCACAAGTGTTGTATCGTGCTGATGACGCAACACGCGGTGAGGGGCATCGTTTCTCGTGGCATATCACAGCGCTACCCCAACCACCGTGAAGCTGAGAGATCTGCACCTGCAGACATGTTCATGGGCCCCTGACAGAAGCCCTCGAAATGTCAAGGAGTAACCAAGACACCCGAACATGATGCGAATGAAAGGAGTGCTGCAGAATATTCGATATTCCAGCCTCGCTACGGCCGATCCTCAGAGAGGAGATAACGGTTTGCATGAAGCTGGGTAAAAGGAGAGGAGGCAGCCAATCAACTTCGCAGCAAATCCAATTTTGGGAAGTCGCGTCTTGAAGTAATTCAAGAGGACGATTGCACCACCAGCGGGTGCTACATGAGATTGTGGTATTCCCAAGACCCTTTTCCTAGCCGTGCAGCGTGCTTGACGTCCGCGCCGGATCTGGTTGATGCTGTATAAGGCGCTTTCCCTCTCCGGTCCCGGGAAGCACAGAGGCTCGTTAATTCATATGGCATGGCCTTCGACAAATAGAATGGGAATCTCTCCTGCGCTGGTAAGTCGACGATGAAGGCTTCATGGCGCTTCTGTGGTACAGTTTCTCGAGCTTAGGCTTTCAATATTGATAATCGCCATGACCCCATGAAGCTAAATAATTCTCGCGGACGAGAGTCCTTGATGGGGTGGAACATCGCGATGTGTAATAGCTCGAGATGGTGAAGTATCGGGCTGTGGCATCGTCGGAGGCGCCAGCCGGAAGACTTCGTATCGAAGCGTGAACTCCGATCTCGTTCCGACGCACGATCGGGTTCCGTCGCTCGATATGGTCACTAGTGCGGTCCCTTTCTGATGGCAGATGGTGATAAATGTTCCACGATATACCCAGACCACATGGTACTCCATTTTGGTGCGAAGTCCTTCTGGTCGGACCTTGTAGTAGGTGACCAGGCTGTATCCGCCAGGAAGGCTAGGTTTCGAAGAGTGGCAGAAATTAATTCATGACCAATGAGAAGCAATTTAGGTCACCTTCAGATCCTTGCGATACTCAAGTCGAGGGCTGGAGGCTTGCTTCATGAACCCCTTGCACTGCCCCTAAATATCCCCTATATTTCGGATGGGGTCGACCCTTACAACAGAGACAACAAATGCGGGTACCTTCGCTGACGTTGAAAAAGGGCCCGGATTGCTGCTGCAAGGAAATCTTCTCCCTCATATCACCCTCGTGTCATTGTTCTTGAGTGCCTGATGTGGATGGAAACTCGACCCGAACCACTAGCAGAGGCTCTTTCAACTGCGCCTCTGATGAGCTTCGTCACAGGCTCCAGAAGCAATGGAGTAGAGGCGTGGCGGAACAAGAATTTTCCCGCTCTTCTTGGACGACAGCCACCCAGTTCTTGTATTCCAAGCATTGCAAATGTGATCTCGGGAGCATGTCCCGTCATCGAGATCATGGGCTAGTGAGATGGTCACTAAGGCTGCTGGTGTCGCCTGAGCCTTGATTGTTTCTTTAGGATCCACGGCGGTCTGTGTGTACCAACGGGCCCGGGTCGAGAAACACCTTGCTCACATGAATGCTGTCACGCGCAGTAGAGTTCTTCTATGAGGAAGTAGATGTTATGTGGGTCGTTGATGCGATAGAAATAGTATTGTAGTTGACGAATCGCCTTGTAAGTACGTGGTGACATACGTGGGGATTCTTGGAACTGTAGCTTCTCAGAATATATGGCTTGTTTGGTTCTCAAACAGCTTTACTGAACGCCTAATGGCTTCCGCAGCTTCCGCGAGGGGCGGCGGACCGAAGGTGCAATTTCTTGCGTAATATCCACAGGTTTCTAACGACCTCATGTGACCTCCGTGAAGGCGAATGGTCAGCGTCATCAATGATCATCTTGTTTGCCTGCGCGACTGCGACCAGGGGGCGGCAAAGTTCCCACTGTCAAAATACTCCCCCGGTGGAGAAAAGCCAGTCAAAGTCTCCGTTATCGCCAATTCCAAGACCACCTACGTGCCAACTGACAAGCATCTAAGAAGAGCTTCATCTGTGGTAAGGCGCATACGCCCGGCCATGAACGAGCTTCGCCCCCTCTTTTCAACTGCTGCTGGGTGTTGTCACTGCATCCAGGCTGGTTGCAGGCGGGCATAGGTACACCGCAAGGAGCGGTTGCGGTGACGAGAAAGCTATAGCAGATGAGTGCGCAATAGACCTCGTTGCCTGGTATTGACGCATCCCTTCGTGTTTC